GGGGGGGGGAGAAAGAGAGCCAGGGTGGCCTCAGACCCTTCCTGGTGGCATGGGTGGGAAGAGCTGGGGCCAAGTGGCCTCAGCCTGGTCCCTCCCGGCTGCTGGGGACCTACAAAGAGCCGGGGTGGTCCTGGCCCCTCTTCAGCTGAGAAGGGTGGTGGTGAGCACAGCGAGCAGAGGGCACAACCCCCTAATACATCATTATACAGTTTCTTCAGCCAAATTCTGCTCTCGGTTACCCCTGGATAACCTCCCTATCTTCATAATCTATCATCATTGCACATGTTTTACTCCAGAGCAGAAATTTGCTTTGCCAAACTGAAGCTGTTATCTATGGTCTTGAAAATGCAAGAAATAGAATATAAGCCAGCTTGATTTTCTGGAACAGTGTTGGCACCGTAGCACAGTAGAGTAAAGAAAGTAGAGACATATTGACAGCTCTCTCTCAGGTCAGCAAATATGGCCCAATGCATGCAAGGAACAGAGCTGTTGAGAATGAAAATACCTTGGTCCAATCACATTTCAGAGAACAATGGCTTAGTAACTATAGAGCTGGCATCGCAGAAAATCACTGTCTAAACACCAGCTAACTCCAGTGAAGATTTTTGTATTAGGGCCACATTTTTCCAACGTTACTGCCTAAAATTAGGCACCTAACTCCATATTTAGTCACCTATGTGGTAAGGATGTGAAACTGTGGTTATCTGACTAATCATGTAGTTAATAATTGTACTGAGTACATGATTAGTCGACAGGACCTGTCTGCAGAGACACAGCGGGGGTCACTCCAGGAGCCAACTCGAGCTGGGATTCAGCAGTCCCGGCTCATACTGGCTCCAGAAGCCACCCACTCTGCAGCTCTGCATTTTAAATGTAGTAAGAGCTGCCAGGCTCTTACTACATTTAAAATGCAGAGGCGCGACATCCCGGACCAGTGCGAGCCGGCTTCCTTAATGTGGATGCTCTATCTCCACCTTGAGCACCAGTAAGCACTAGGAAGTAATTACTTTGAATATCTCTGGGGAGTAGTTATTTTGAAACAACAGCAGTTGAGCATCCACACTAACCCTCGCAGAATGAGGGGTTGTTATTTCAAAATAACAAGCCCATTAACTTGAAATAACGGGCTTGCTGTGTGGATGCTCTCCTTGTTATTTCAAAATTATGGGAGTTATTTCAAAATAACTGTAGTATAGACATGCCCTTGCAGAGTTAGGGTGACATAAGCTGCCGGACTTTGACCTAACTCTGTAGTGTACATTAAGCCGTTAAGAGACCTTTGATTTGAGCTCTCTGTGATTTTAGAGAATATTAGCATGGACCCTATAAAGATGGCCATTGTGTAAAGCCTTGGCCAATAGCCACCCTGCTTTAGGCCTCACATATGGCTTGTGGAGCCCACAATACAGTCCCAGAGGAACAGAGTTATGCTACCCAAGAGTTCTGATAAAATCAGGATGAATTGATTGAGTGTTTGTATACATCTGTTATTCATTATGGTGAAATCTGATAAATACAAGATGAGATCATTGTTAAACCAGGTCAAACCACCTGAGAGGTGAAAATCAGAATATTTGACATCTCAGTAATCTCATGAATCTTTAGCAACCAAGTTTTTTGAGGAAAAAATGGAAAATATCAATATTTCTTGACTATATCCAACTGGCATATTGAAATTTTTACATTTATCAACATTTAGAATTTCAATAAAAAAGGGCAAATTTTTCAATGAAATTTCCTGCTAATATTTTTATAGCTGTTTGAATGTTTTTACATTTTAAAATTTCTATGGGAAACAGTAAAAAAAAATGGATAGTTTAATATAAAATGTTTTCCTATTTTTTAAACAGATCAGCTCGTAACTCTCAGGCCAGGTCTACACTAGATCTGGCAGCCACATAAGCTGGAGTCAGCTTACCTTAAGCCGAGCTTGATGGCATCCCCAATGGGAGGAAATGCTCACTTTGGCTACTCTTGCTCCCCCAAAAGGAGGAGTATCAGACACTGATGGGGGCGCCCTCTGAGTTCGATTTAGCGAGTCTTAGCTAGACTTGTTAAACTGAACTCCGGAAGATCAATCATGGCAGCAGCGATCTTCCTTCTAATGTAGACAAGGCCAGAGTTACATACTTTCAATTCTATAGCATGGTAAGACAACATTTTGATAGATAAAATGTGCACGAATGCCAACTGGTTGTAAAGGTGCTCTCTTGTATCATCTGTCCTCCATCAAAGTCTGAATTTATACCAGAAATGATCATAGGGGAGGAGGGAAGCCACATGTTTGAATTGTGGAGTCTACCAAAGCTGGTCAAAAGTCCAGTGAAGTAAGTGGAAAGACTCTCTTCAAAGGATTTTGGTTTGGGCATGAATATCTTTTGAGAGGGCGACAGTTTTTTGCCTAGATGGTGTTATATTCACCTAGGGATCCAAACTTGCAGCCATGTGTAGACAAAACAGCCATGGAAATCCCTTCACAGCAGTATTCCATCTCTTCTCCCATCATACAGTACAAAGCACTTTTAAAATTATATCTACATTTTAAAATATTTGGCATTATTTTACCAGTCTTAAAAATCACAACAGTTTCTTTAAATGTCAACAAAATAGAGCAGCTTAATGTACTAATTTTGCAAGCTTTGGGAAGTAATTGCCTTCACATTATTAATTTCTTTTTCTGGCTGAGTCTTAAATAGCCAAATTTGATACACAAAATATAATGCAAGCCATGGTTTATAAAAATCTGATTCCGGCTCTGAAGATATTTCCTATGTTAATCATATGATACCTGCAACTTTGGCATTCCGAAACCTACAGTCGCCAATTACTATCTGCAAACTGTTGACAGGAATCCAGCCTTCTTTTCTTCTATTCAGGTTTTTCACCAACCTTTGAATGATAAGTGTATTAGTGGAAAACTTGAGCACTTTATAGCAGTGTGGGACCTATTATACACAGTGCACATTAACTTTGGAAAGTTGCAGAGCACAGAAAACACACTCGAGTCAGTGGCCTTGACTCAGCAAAGAAAGTCAATGGGATTTAAGCACTTTGCTGAATCACAGTTTGAAATGGGCCTAATCATGCACATAAGCCTTTATACAATTAAGGCAATAAACATTAGGCAGCCATGTTTGAAAATTTGGACCTTAATCTTTCCATGTCTGTCAAATCTTTTATTTAATAATGTCTCAAAATATGGCATTTTGATCAGCTGATCTACGTTTAAATGGTCCCATTCACCAACGAAAAGCAAGCTGCCTGATAATTTCTCTACATGATAAACTAACTATTCTGTGCCAACAACTTTTATAGTCATTTTCTTTCCCACAATTCCCCTGGGAGATGGTAAGAGCGTTTATGCAACTTGGGATCCAGCATCAGTGTGTCCTACTCCAATCCTTTGTTTGGACTAAGTCTCTATCATTTAGCCTTCTATGTTGCAATCATTCCTGAACACTACAGCATCATTTAGTTCAATACCTATACTTAGCATTTTAACCTCCTCCCTCCCCTCCAAGTCTACAACATATCCAGTTGTAACAGATTCATGGTTACAACATTAGTTCAAGTTTGGTGTTGTGGTTAAGACACTAGACTAGATCAGAGACCAGCTCTTGGCTTTGCCACTTATTTCTTGTGTGACCTTGGCTAAGCGACTTAACCTCTCTGTCTCTTAGTTCCCTATCCATAAAATGGAGACAGTAACATTTATCTTATATAATAACTAATATTATAATAACCAATATGTATCTTATAGAAAATATGGATTTAGGCACGTCACTTTAGATTCCTATTTTTTCCAGTCAGGTGCAGACCTTTTGCTCCCAACTCCCATTCCCACCGAAGGTCCTGTCACTGAAGACAAAGGAGAATCTCCATTCGTTGTCACGCTGTTAGAGCAAGTCGTATGCCCTCTGTGGTGTGCTACCAAAGAGCAGCATGATCACATATGCACAGGTATGACACTCCATCTGTACTGCACATTCACAGTAGCCAGGCTCCATGACACAGTATGGGTAAAACCACCATGGCAAGTGGTGATTGCTCAAAAAACCTGATTTGATACTTTGTATATTGATGTAACGAACATTCAATGTAACTTCCTTTACAACACAATGAATGCAGATTTGGGCCAGGAATCCTCTCCGGGGCAGTATGTGTCTGCAAACTTAGACCAGATCTACACTAAAGGGGAAGGCTGACTCAAGATATGCAACTCCAGCTACATTAATTACGTAGCTGGAATTGACGTACTTTGAGTTTCCCCGCCTTCTCCACAGTGGGAGGCTGATGGGAGTGAATGATCCTGTTGGCTTCCCTTACTTCTTACAGGAGCTGGAGTACCAGCCACCAATGGGATTGCCCTCTGAGTTCAATTTAGCAGGTCTTAACTAGACCTGCTAAATCAAACTCCAGAAGATTGATCGCAGCAGCGTCAGTCTTTCACTTAGTGAAGACATGGCCTTAGAAGCTAGTCATTGAACATCTCCAATTCAGATTTTTCACAATAGCACAATCTCCCCTTCCTTCCAATGAACATATATGAAATTATGCATGAGCATAGCAGGAGTCAAGGGAGAGCTCTGAGGTCTGACTGACAAGAACTAGGTAACAAATCAACCTGAAAAAGAAAAAGCAGACGGACTATGAGCCAAATTATGAGAGAGCACAATGCCCTCAGAGATAATGAGGGCAATGGTTTGACATGCAGGACATCAAGTATGGTAATTTCCTAGGCAGTATTCCCAGCTGAAAGCAGAGAGACAGCTGTTAATCTTCACATTGCAAGCCAAAGTTTTTGAGAGCCAATGGCTCATTGGGCTGATGCACTTATGGCACATCAGTTTCCTAACCAACAGTACACAAGGGAGTGATGTGAGGGGCATCATGTCCGAATGTCTTTCCAAGCCATAGCTTTAAATAAAGCCAAAAGATGACACTTGCTGTTAATTAGTTAACGCTTGTAAAGCGATCTGAAGAAGAAAAATGCCTTGTAACTGCAAAATGCTATTATTAATTGCTCTGAAGGAACAAAGCCAAGAGCGGAGCTGGAGAGGACTGGGAAAGGTCAAAGGCAAAAAGGAGTCATTCAAACCAACAGAAAGACCAGGTGTTTCAAAAGGGTAAGTACTCGGGCACTGCCTTGGGACTCAAGCTAAATTTAACCTAGATGTCTACTCAAGTTCCAATAACTCCCCATGATTGCAGTGTAGACCAATGTTAATTCTGTTGCTTTCCAGTAGAGTACATGTACTAAGGACAGGTCTACACAAAGGGGAAGGTCAAATTAAGATACGCAACTCCAGCTACATTAATTATGTAGCTGGATTGACATACCTTGATTTGAGTTTCCCTGTCATCCCCACAGTGGGAGGCTGACAGGAGCAAATGCTCCTATCTGCTTCCCTTAGTCCTTGCAGGAGCAGGAGTACCAGCCACCGATGGGGGCACCCTCTAAGTTTGATTTAGTGGGTCTTTACTAGACCCGCTAAATCAAACTCCAGAAGATCTATCATGGCAGGATCAATCTCCCCCTTAGTGAAGACATGGCCTAACAAAGGTACACAGATATTTCAGGAGTTAAGCTGGATTGCCCATCATCAGGGCTCGACAAACAATGCAATCTACTCGCCCGTGGCGAGTAGACTGCAACCCGGAAGAGCCGGGTTCGGGCGATCTGCACATGCGCAGAATGATCTGCGCATGTGCAGATCACCGGACAGCGCGACTGGCGAGCAGGGCTCGCTGCAGTTCGGCGAGCCCTGCCCATCATTACCTTGTAGGTTCCTGGAGATACGGTAAAAAAAAAATCTCAAATACCTACCATTGTCCTTCACCATCCTCGTGCAAAAGCTGAATCACATCCCCATTTTGAACCAGCAAGTCCTCTGATCCTCTCTTCTTGCAGTCTGCTAGGGCTTTATATTTTCCTGGTGACTAATATTAAAAACATATATTACTTCACAAATACTCTGGTTCATAACTTGGTGTAATTAAATTTTTGTAAGAGAGCCTTTATTCCCAGCAGCTGAGGGGAAAATGGTAGTTCTTCTCAGCTTATACATAATAATAAGCAATCATGCGAAAATGTTGGTGATAAGTGTTCATATGCAACCTGCTTTCTTAACACTTATATAAGCACATTCTTTTTATCTAAAAAAGACAATTGCTGTAATATGTGCAGCAACTGATAACATGCTATTAAAATCAAATTCAATGATGCTAAGAACTTTTTTTTTCCTTCCTGAATATAATTAGTAGGTAGAAGAAAAATGAAGCTTTTCTCTTCTGGGACCATTGTGACTTCCACATCTTAAGGGTTTTTTTCTGTACATCAAGTGAATGTTTATGGTGTTAGTGCTGTAAGTCATAGAGAATGTTCGAAAGTACCTAGAAGGATACTGATACAGTTAGAGGTCCTGATCTCAGAATATGCCCATCCGGCTCCCAGGGAGGAGGTGTCGCTGGCCTGCCACTACAAAGCTTTCTCCCCAGGAGCCGGCTGAGTGTAATCGACACCGTTAACCAATAAGCATCAGCTTATCAACTGAACAATTGGTCAGTTACACTCTAACATCCCTAAAAGAAATTCTCTCAAAATCTGAGGATCAACAGAGGAGACAAGGACAGACATATTTACATGCTAGGTGCTTCCATGCTTCGGCTGGTATGCAGCCAAGAACTTCCTCATTTTTTTTTTATTGCCCAGTGCTTCCTCAAATACTTCTAGAACTGGTGCCATCACCACCTGGTGTGGTTTTAGCATAAGGCCTGGTTCTCTTGGATGTTCTTCATTCAGAAGCCTTTCAAAATAAATTCACCACCATTCCTTCACTTGGTCTCACTGATTAACCTATTTCTCCTTTCATCTTTAGTGAGTTCGAGCTCACCAATATCTTTACTTTTCTTATTTCCAATCTGTATATTTCTTTCAAGGCCTCTTGTTTCAAGATGGGTATGTAAGCCTTCCAGGTCTTTAACCTCAGTGGTTGCCACCTCTTTCTTCACTATCTTTTTGGCCCTTTAATAAATTTGAAAATCCTGCTGTAGCCTGTTGCTAGTCTGAGGTTAAATTTTTTCCCCCTTGATGGCCTCTCAAGCTCTCTCATTCCAACACCTGATCGAATTAGAGAAAAACATTCTTGCTTCTGTTTCACCAAGTGGGTGTTTTGCACATTCTTGTACTTTGCTTGCAAAATGGCAGAATCGAAGATTGATATTTTTTCTTAACCCTTCTAAAGAAATCTTTTCCAACACTTTCATTCGTTAAGATTTCACCGCTGGGTTTTCTGTACTGCTTTGGATTCTTTTCTTCTATGTACAATATGTTTCCAGAGTTAAGAACCAGCGGATCTATGCTGACTTACAATGCTTTCCTTTTGGATAACCTGACAGATTTTTGATGTTCTTCAGCTCAGCTTGGCTTATCAGGAAGTAACCTATCTGCACCCTCAGACTTACATCCTTACAAGTACTCAGAAGTTCTTCCTTCTTAGTAAAAAATGTACCCAATTACATCTGAGCATATTGTAAGATCATTTCCCTTCCTTGTTCTTATATATCCAAATCCATGGCTACCTCTGCTACAATTGGAAGCAATTACTTTCTCTCCACAGTGACTACTAAGGACAGCTCCAATTATGACTTTTTATTCTGTAGTATTTTCTGTACAACTGTTTCCATTTTCCCCCAGGATCCTTTTTTTTTCTTATTTGCTACATCCCACTTGGGGTGCATATGTAATGTTGAGAGGCAGAACTGAACTTGAAACCTCTGAGCTTAGTGCATGAGCCTCTACAGCGCGAGCTACAAGCCAGCTGGCTTGCAGCTAAGGCTGTAAAGAAAACTAACTCATTCACACACACACACACACACACACACACACACACACACACACACACTCTCTCTCTCTCTCTCTCTCCTCCCCCCCCCCCATGGGACAGTAAAACAAACCCACTAGGTTTGTGGGTTACATATATGTACATATAACATTTAGGGGGCATTTTTAAGAGCTAGCTTAACCAACGTTTATCCAATATACAAAGAGATAAGGTGGGCGAGAGAATATCTTTTATTAGATCCACTTCCGTTGGTGAGAAAGACGTGCTTTCAAGCTTACATACAGCTCTTTGACAGGTCACCAACAGATAAAAGATATTATCTCACCCATCTTGTCTCTCTAACAGCCACTCCGGCTACATCAACATGGCAAACACGAATACACAAAAGACATCAGAAAACGTCGATTGTAACAAAAAGAGAAGTCTTACATTAAATCGCTTCAGACACTCTATTTAGTGCCCTTGAAATAAAGCATTTTATATGCATCACTAACCAACTGGTTCCCATCTTCTTCTTCTGTGTCCGAACAATTAGAAAGGTAATTATTGCTAGACCAGTCTTCAAGCCCTTCACAGCTTTCCACAGATTGTGACATTCTAGACCAACCTGCAAGAAAATATATAACTTAGGGCTTTAGTTTGTATAACCGATATATACGAAACCAAAAGCAGGAAAATATAACACATTGCAATACCTACTGCTTGTGCAATATTACATTGCAAACGTGTACCTACTTTGGTTGGTCTTGTTCTGTGGTGATGAGCTGAGACTGTCCAACATTACAGGGCTGGTGCGTTCAGAATCATTTTCTTCAGAGCTAATGGAAGCTCTTTGCTGCTTTCTGAAACAAATAAACATGTTATGGTTTTAATTGTCAAATATTGGTGATGCCTATACATTTTGGCAAACCAAGGATATAAGCAGGTACTACAAGGTGCTTTTGAATACATCCTATAACCTTGATGCCCGGATTGGTTTGGGGGAAGGAGGGACAAACACTGCTAAAGCAATTGCTTCTCTACGAGGAAGCACCACATTAGGTGTAGATTTCTTCTAAAGGTATCCTCCCTTCATGTCGAAATTATAGGAAATGTCCCTCTGCACGCAAAACTCAGTGTTGTTATTTCTGTGTAGGGTAACCGTATTTCCCTATGCTGCATATGGGATACCTGGTAATTAATGACTCATATTCAAGATTAAACTAGATGGGTTTATGAAGGGGATGGTTTGATGAGATAATATGATCTTGGTAACTAATTGACCATTCATTATCAGTGGGAAATAGGTCAATGGAGGGAAGATAGGAGTTACTAGAGAAAACTTTCTGGGTGCCTGGCTGATGAGTCTTGCCCACATGCTCAGGATTTAGCTGATCGCCATATTTGGGGTCGGGAAGGAATTTTCCTCCAGGGTAGATTGGCAGAGGCCCTGGAGGTTTTTCGCCTTCCTCTGTAGCATGGGGAGCAGATCACAGCTGGAGGATTCTCTGCATCTTGGGGTCTTCAAAATATCTGAAGGCTTCAATATCTGAGATATAGGTGAGAGGATTATTCTAGGAGGGGTGGGTGAGATTCTGTGGCCTGCATTGTGCAGGGGGTCAGACTGACCTTAAAGTCTATGAGTCTATGAGTTCAATGGCAGTCAGAGTTATGCAGGTCAAATGCTCAAATAAACATCAAGCTGATTGAGCCCTTGTTAAAAAAGAAATACTGAGTAGCTGAGTCTTTTTATTTACTTTCTTATCTTTAAGGTTTGCATGGGGAGAGGTCTCACTCTCTCACACACACACTCACTCACTCCTGCACATCTCTCTCAAACAGGGATGGGGGTGACTAACCAACCTGACCTAATCCCCCCTACTCAGTGCTCTCCGCCCTCCACCCTGGTAGGGCGCCCGTTATGGGCCTGCTTGACCTGGTACCTGGCACTGAATCTTCTCAAGGCACTGTGTGGGGGCATGCTGGAGCATAACCCCCTCTCTCTCCCTCCTCGCACACATTTCTGTCAGGGTTCACACCAGAAAGTGCCAAGCAGCAGCCTTTTGACACTGTGCATGTGTTTGGGATGGCAGACGGGGGGAGAGATGCTCTATCCTGTGTTTTTCCAGAGGTCATCACTTCCCTTCTGCTCTCCCTCCCCAGTGGCTAGAAGCAGCATGTCCCATCCTGCCCGCACAAAGTTGAAAGGCAGATAACAGCTCCAGGCTGCAGCTGGCCACCGACATAACCCAGCCAACCTCCTGTTCCCTAGCAACAGCATGGGCAGAAAGGGGTTAAGGATGCATTGCGCACCAGGGCCCAAAAACTTCAGTAAACCAGGCCAGAGAGGTGACTCAGCAGGGAGGGTGTCTAGGGGACAGAGTAACCCACTCCCTGAGGGTAGGACCTAGGGTGGTGACAGCATGTGAAGAGGGTGCTAAGTGCTCTTGCCTGGGACCTGGAGGGTCAGAGTGTAAACAGGCTGGAAATAGCTTCCTCCCTGCCACACCAGTGCCTTGCTGAGGGGCAGAGAAGCTTCTCTGTTCCAGTGCTGTGGGGGGCTTTGGCCCATGCGGGCTTGGCTGTACTCAGCCAGTGCCCTGGAGCAGGGGGTTTGAGCTCTGCCTGGGTGCCAGCCCAGCCAGGGGCAGCAGGGGGAGGAAGGACCCTGCCAGCCAGGCTCTTGATGAGCTGAATTATCTGATCAGGGGCTGATTCTCTGCTCAATGCAGGAGTGGGCTGTACCCTGCTGGGAGAATATGGAGGAGCAGCAGGCTGGGTGCAGGGGGTGTAAATGGTCAAAGCAGAGAGAGGCTGATGCAAGGGGAAGCATGTAAAGGGTTGATGGGTGGGCAGCAGAGGCGACACATATCCAGCCTTTGCCTGCCTGCACTCCTCAGCCACCACAGCAAGCAGCCAGTGTGGCTGGAAATGGGTGGGGTGCGGGTGAAGAGGAACTGCTGGCAAAGAACAGGCAGGCAACAGGGACTGCACTGATGGACCCGTACGGGGTGCAGCTGGCCCTGTCCCCTGCAGCTGTGCCCAACCAGCAGCCTTGCACACTCACCCCCATCGTCACTGCTAGAGGGTGGGCAGTGGGCAAGCAAGGATCTGACTAGCAGCACGACCCACCAGTACTGATGTGAGGGGAGACAATTTGCCCATTTAAAAACCATGACCTGCAGCAGGACTTAAATACAGGACTGCCCCTTTAAAAATGGGACAACTGGTCGCCCTATTTCTATGGGAGTTCTGTGCACTAGGGATGTAAAAGAATAGTCGAGTCGACTGCTCACATTCTCCACCCCCTGCTGCCTCTATATCCGATGTTTATATCAGAGACAGCAAGAGCTGGGGAAGGGGGAAGGAAAAGCCGATGCTGGGGGGAGCCAGTTTAAAAACCGGTTCACCACAGTACCCTCTCCGTGGTGCCATTTGCCGTTGCTCCCCTTCCTCCCCCCCCCACCTCCCCGGCTGCTGCCTCTATCAGTGACAGCAGTGTGGGAGACCAGGGGAGCCTGCTCTAGCAGCAGCTCCTGTCCCCCGGGGGG